AGCCTGTTTGAGGTGGGAGCAGATGGACGCACAGCGTACGAGAGGCGTCGAGGTAAGAAGTATCGGAAGGAGCTCCCGCCGTTCGCCGAGACGGTGTTTTACCTGCTTGCAGATCGGAACAGGGGCCACAAGAACAAACTGGATGCGAAGTGGTTGACTGGCATCTACCCAGGCGTGAAGTCGACGAGCCAGGAGCTGTACATCGGCGTGGAGTCGGGCGTCATCCGGGCCAGGGCGGTAAAGCGGAAGGCTGGCGAGGACAGGTACGACAAGGAACTGCTGAGGAAGCTGCAGGAAACTCCTTGGCGGCCAGCGCCTGGAGTGGTACGAGATGGAGAGGAGGCGCCAGCTGCTCGGCCCCCGATCGCGAGGGCGTCCGACGAGGCGCCTCTGCCGGTAGAACCGAGGGCGTTACGGCCATGGCGCAGGCACTGGACCCGGAGGAGTCCCTGGACCGAGGCGTGTGTACATCCGCAACGAGGTGGAGATCAAGAAATTCGGGATGACCCCAGGCTGCATTGGGTGCGAGAGCTTTGCGCGCGGGCTGCCTGCGCGCAGTCACAGCGAGGCGCGCGGGGCAAGGATCATCCAGATAACGAGATGAGGAAGCGTGTCAGGATCGCGGAGGAGCGCCGGGGCATCAAGAGGCCAGCTGAGAGTCAGGTGGTGGAGTCGGAGGCGCAAGCTGATCTTGGACAGCCGGCGGCGTCATCAGGCGCGGCGGCATCGAGTTCGAGGGCTTCGGGGTCAGGAGGTGTTCATGCTGGCCCAACGGCCGCGCGGGAGGCATCGAGCTCGAGCTTGGGGGCGCAAGCGGCTGTCAAGATGAAGGAGACGTCGGAGGTGCCGAAGGCGATGGAGGAGAGGTCAGGCTCAGGCGTGAAGAGGCCAGCGGAGGAGACACCTACAGTTGAGGGCGCAATGGACGCAGGTGCGCTGGAGGAGGTGAAGGGTGTCATCCATGAGCTGGGTTTCTTCGGGGTTCACGTGTCAGGGCTGTCCGGGCCAGGCAAGTTCACGGACAGGGCCGAGTCGTTCGGCCTCAACCCTGGGCACGCATTCGACCTGCGCTTGACGGACGACTGCGGTGGTGTGCCGTGGGACCTATCGGACCCAGAGCGTCAGAAGCTGTGCGAGGCGACGATCGACAAGGACAGACCGTACTTGGTTATCGGGTCGCCGATGTGCCGAGCGTTCAGCACCATCATGATCATGAACAGGACCCGCGACCCAGAAGGGTACGAGAGGAAGGTGATGGAGGGCATCCAGCACCTGAGGTTCTGCGCGAGGATTTACGCCAAGCAGGTGGAGCAAGGGCGGTATTTCCTACATGAGCATCCTGACCGAGCATGAAGTTGGAAGCTAGACTTTATGGTGGATGTGTCGAAGCTGGAGGGTGTCTCTCGTGTGAGCGGCCACCAGTGCTGCTTTGGCCAACAGACAGTTGACCTAGACGGCGAGAAGGGCTTGGTACTCAAGCCCACTGGTTGGATGAGCAACTCGGAGTGCATCTTGAGGGAGGTCTCCCGCAGGTGCGAGAATGAGAGCTTGCCTCGGGGCAAGTGGCACACGCATGTACATCTCGTTGGGAGTTCGAAGACGCGGCCAGCGCAGAACTACCCGCCAGCGTTGGCGGCGGCAATCCTCAAGGGCCTGAAGGAGCAGCTGAAGGCCGACGGCGAGCTGAGCGAGCTCACGGTCGGGGTCACGTGCGAGGAGGACGCCGTCAGCTGGGACATGGAGGAGTACGAGGAGTTCCGCGACAACATCTCGGGCCAGCTGCTGGACGCCAAGATGGTGCGGGCCGGCCGAGAGGAGGTGCTAAAGTACATGGACGAGATGAAGGTGCACGAGGTGGTTCCTGAGTCTGTGTGCTGGGAGGAGACCAAGGCGAAGCCGATCCAGGTCAAGTGGGTCGACATCAGTAAAGGGGACGAGGCTCGCCCAGAGATAAGGTGCAGGCTAGTGGCGAAGGAACTGAAGAGCGAGCAGACCAGGGTTGGCATCTTCAGAGATGATGTGTTTTCGGCGACGCCGCTCCAGGAGAGTGTCAAGATGCTGTTTAGCAAGATGATGAGCAAGAAGCGCGGCGACTGCAGGAGGCGGAGGCTGATGTTCATCGATCTCAGTCGGGCGCATGCCCACAGTCCGGCTCGCAGGCGCGTGTTCGTCCAACTACCTGCCAAGCGACATCGAGAGGGTTACTGCGCGCTGCTGCTCAAGAGCATGTACGGCACAAGGGACGCGGCGGCGAACTTCGCCGATAAGGTGATGGAGGTGCTGAGCGACATGGGCTTCAAGATTGGCGTGTTCTGTCCGTGCCTGCGCAGGCGCGAGGAGAAGGACATCTTGCTGTTCTACCACGGGGATGACTTCGTGAGCGAGGGCGAGGGTGACTCGCTGGAGTGGTTCAAGGTGGAGTTGTCCAAGAGGCTGCTGGTGAAGGTGAGTGGTGTGCTTGGCTGGGACAACAACGATGAGAAGGAGCGCGCGCTGCTCAATCGGATCGTCCGGCTAACTGAGGTGCAGGACGGAGTTCCGTGTTTGCAGTGGGAGGCTGATGCTCGCCATGTCGAGATCGTTTTGTCGCAGCTGAAGCTCGAGCCAGGCAAGGGCAGCAAGTCGGTGACATTGCCTGGCATCAAGAGGACCGCGGAGGAGCTGGAGAGTTCGGCTAGCCTCGGGACCGCCGAGGCATCGTGGTTCAGGAGCGTCTGCATGAGGATTAACTACCTGGCGATGGACAGGATCGATTTACTCTTTGCGGCGAAGGAGGCAGCAAGGTGGATGAGTAAGCCGACACAGACAGCCATGGAGATGGTGAAGCGAATCGGGCGCTATCTGATGCGGCGACCAAGGATCGTGCAGCAGTTCGTTCTGCAGGTGGAACCCGACTACCTGAAGGTGGCGCGTGACTCCGACCATGCAGGTTGTGCACTGACGAGGAAGAACACTGCGGGCATTGCGCTGTGCCACGGAGCTCACTTGCTGAAGGCGACGGCCAACGCCCAGTCAGTGATAGCGCTGTCGAGCGGGGAGTCGGAGTTCTACGCGATCGTGCGCGGGGCGAGTGTTGGACTGGGGGCCCAAAGCATGTGAGGATTTCGGCATGAGGAAGGATTTAGTGATCGAGACTGATGCGACGGCCGGGCGCGGTATGGCGCTGCGGCTTGGTACGGGGAAGGTGCGCCATTTACATGCGCAGTACTTGTGGGTACAGACAGTATTCCACGAGAAGAAGGCGAGGCTGGTCAAGGTGCCTGGCGACCTCAACACGGCGGACATGATGACCAAGCACCTGGCCGGCGACACGATGGATTTCTACATGGATCGGCGCGGGTTCGTTATCCTGGAGGGCAGGAGTGAACTGTCGCTGAAGGCGGCAGTGTGAGTGCGGCTTGGGCCGAAGGTTCGGCCAAGTGATTTCATTATCAGCCTGAGCAAGGCTCTGTTTGCTTGCTGGTCGACGGCGGCGCGAGGGCGCCTGGTCGAGGAGGAGTGTAGCAAGACATACTTGATAAACAGGTTGTGATAGCGTGTTGCTGTCTGCAGCCGTGCTGGTTCAAAACAGCATCGCCAGCTAAGGCGAGAGCCACATGTTGATAACGGGCCGCCCTCCATCAGTGAACCTGTTGCAAATTTCAAGCTTCAGGTTCACGGGTGGTGAGGAAGAATCTGGCGAAACGCCCAGCCCGCCCTTTCGACTGGCTTCGGGGCGCGACGGAGGATTGCACAACATATAACGGCGTCTGCACCGTCATTGTCCTGGCAAGTTTAGGCTAACTCTTCTTGGTACTTGATGTAAGTGGGTTGGGCGCGTCACAGGGCAACGGGCACGCGTGGGGGGAAACGGGCGAGAACCCACGCATATAGACGGAGGGCGTCTGTCAAAACACCCGACGAATGATCGAAGACGCCTACGGCGAATCACCGCCGCCCCCTGCCTTTTTGGAAGCGCCTATGTGGCCGAACGTTGAGGCCAGACCTGCCAAGCCATCGGACCACGTGTTCCCCGAATCGGTTTGGACAGCCTTGGGAACACGTGGGCATTTTGAAGGTCATCTTGGTCGTCTTGGAGGCCTCTTGGGCGATCTTTCGGCGATTTTTGGGGGCTCTGGGGCCGTCTCGCGCCGTCGGAAGGCCGAAAAGAAGGAAATGCCCAAATCCGTAGAAAACCTTAGGACAATCAGAGTATTTTGCCTTTTTCCGAATTTTTTTCTGGAGGCTTTCTTGGGGTCTCTTGGGCCGTCTTGGGCCAGCTTCGAGCCAATTTCGGCCATTTTGGTGGGTTCCTGGCACGTCTGACGCCGTCGGGAGCCGTCTTGGGGGCCTTTCTGGGCCGACTTGGGACCCTCTTGGGGCGTTTCGGGGCCGTCTGGGAGGCCATCTTGGGCGTCTTGGAGGCCTTCTTGGGCGTGTTGGAGGCCTCTTGGGCCGTCTTGGGGCCCTCTTGGGGCCATCTTGGAGGCCATTTGGGCCGTCATGGGGCCCTCTTGGGGGCCTCGGGCCGTCGGAATGCCGAGAAGACGCAAATTCCAAATGGTTTGTGCTTGCACGTGAAGGAAGTCAAGAGGGGTTTTCATTATGTCGCCCCTTTGGCTCCGCTCCTTCTTGCATCGCATAGCTTCTCTGGTCCAGAGTCGATGGATGGGCGCCATCCCTGAGGGGCGGCCGCGCCGCTGGCCTGGGTGGTAGTGGCGCTGGAGGCCGCGGCCTGCGTTGGAGCAGAGGAGGGCCCGACGCGGGCGGCCTGCCCTGACCCTCGTGCCCGGCCTGTCCTGCGTGTCCAGAGGCGGCGGCTGGCCCAGAGGCCGCGGCCTGCCCGGCTTGCGAGCCGCCTCCCCGCGCGGCTTGCCGGCCTGCGAGCCGCCGCCGGGTGCGACCCGCCCGGCCTGCGAGGCGGCCGGCGGCGACGCCGGGCGAGAGGGCGGCGGGGAGGCTCACTGGGGTACTGCCCGGAGGCCTGGTGTACTGGCTGGTGGGAGTTCCCGGTCGCGGGCATGACGATGCTCGTGTGGTGGCTCCTCAGCGTCGTGGGGCGGAGGTGGTGGACTAGAGCGCTCTCAGTGGAGCCTGGGGTCTGCCGATTCGCCGGCGACGACGTCGATGACGTATGGGTGCAGCTGCACTACGTGGCAGAGGGCGGACGGGTCATCCTGTCCCCAGAGGTTGACATCTACGTGGAGGTCATGAGCTGCGGCAGGGCCGAGACCTGGCCTGCCCGACCCATCCCGCTGGCGCAGCGGATGGGCAGGATGCGGAGGCTGTATCGCTTCGAGGAGGCGCTGGGGCCTGAGAGTCGGGCCAGGACGCTGACGCGGGGCCGTCAGGCGGCGCTGGAGGTAGAGGCGGCGTCGCCTGAGCCGAGGGAGGCCGGGGCCGTGAGCGGCCAGCGGGTCTCGTGGCAGGAGGACGCTGGTAGGCGTCTGGCCGTGGAGCGGAGGGGCCTGCTGTACCCGAGCATGGCCGTGGCTCGCCGGGCGGGGACGCCGCTGGAGGCTCCTGCTGGGGGTGACGCCTGGGTCGGCCGCGGTGGCGTGCCCGACGGTGTGATCGGGGCGGAGGTCGACGTGGCGAGGACTGGAGGCCTGAGCTTCGAGGACGGGCCTGAGGCGTTCGGCGTGCTGAGGACCGCCGGCGGTGGTACAGGGCGGCTCGGCCGGCTGGGCGCGGGGTCGGACGCTGGGCGCCTGGCAGAGGAGGAGGCTTTCAGGCATGGCCCAAGCAGGAGCCAGGCGCGAGCCAAGGGCCCCGAGCGCCGACGCACTGCGGCCGCGGCGCCGCTCGAGGATGAGGAGCCCGCCGGGCCCCCACGCGGCACGGCTATGCCAGAGCTGGCGCAGCCGCTGCTGGAGGGGCCGCAGGGCGAGCAACGCGACGCCCTCGCCCGCACGCTCTGGGTCTTCTACGACGAGCAGGGCGGACGGGACAGACGATGGCGAGACGTGGTAGGCGAGTCGAGGCAGGGGCGCCGCCCAGACGCACGGGTGGGCAGACCGCCGGGGGCTCTCCACATGCGCGAGCACATGGTGAGGCACGGAGGCGACCTGCGGCTCGAGCCCGACCTCACCGTATGCGTGAGGGGCCGTGGGGAGAATGACTGGGTGGTGCAGAAGCTGAGGACGATCGTGGAGGCCTGGTACCAGGGCTTATTACGTGTCCAGCTGAACATGAGCGGCCTGATGATGGTGGGGAAGATGACTCACCGCGGGTCCGCCACGCTGGAGGCCTACGGAGACCTGCTCAAGCCGAGCTGGACGAACGCGGACATCTTCGCGGACGTGAGCTCGGAGAAGGACGTCTCGGGGTCAGAGCTCAGGGGCTACATCCACCAAGGGGCGCAGAAGACGTACGAGGTGGAGCAGGTGCAGAATCGGGCAGGTACGCTACGCGGGGTGCCTACTAGGACCGTCGGCGGAGCAGAAGGAGCTGGAGGCGACGCAGCAGGTGCGGGGCGTGGTGGCGGCCGAGGCGGCCGCGGGCGCGGCCGGGCCAGGGGCGTCGCCTCCGCGGGGCCATGACGGCCCCCGGGCCCGGGGGGACCAGCCCCTCCCCCGGGCCATTTTTGCCGGGGCACGACGGCGGCCGCCTGCCGCCCTCGCGTGGAGCTCGCAGCTTCCTGCCGCTCCCGCTGCTGGGCGACGCTGGCCGCCGAATTCGCGGCAGGTCTTGCAGGGCGAGGCAGTTCGGCCGAGAGAATCGGATTGCGGCGGAGGTCAACGGTATCGTCGATGCCGTTAACTGGATGTCGGGGTACGACTCGCTTCCTGGCCCAGCCAATGACATGCAGCGGGATGTACTAGCGCGCTTCGAGGGCCTCGTTCGGGGCCGGCAGCCGGACGCCAAGTTGCAGGATCCGCAGGCGGCCCTCCGGGAGCTGCTGCGGGGCCGCTCGCCATACGACGGGCGCAGTGGCCCGACGACGGTCGCCTCCTACAGTGCAGGGCTCGTCAGCATGCCGATGGACGTGAGCGACTGCCCGCGTCTAGAGGACCTCTTGCCTGGCGAGGCCCTTACTTTCCTGCAGGAGCGCCATGAGCGCATGTTGCGAGAATCACCCTTGCCGACTGACGTCGAGCCATACTTCGACTCGGTCCTCAAGTTCAACCACAAGGAGTACCGCGGCCTGGTGCGCCGGCTGCTGTCGGCTGGCATTCTGGGATGGACTCTAACACCGAAAGAGAGAATTGGGATGTTTTTCGTGTGGAAGGATGGGCGGCGCCGACTTCGCCTCATAGTCGACGCCCGCCGTACGAACGCCCACTTCAAGGACCCTCCTGGGGTGGAGCTTTTGAGCAGCGAGGGCCTTGCCAGAATCGAGGTGCACGTGCCAGACGCGGGCTTCTCGAACTACGAGGACCTCCGCGCCGCGCTGGAGGCGCAGCAGGTGTACATCGGCATGGCGGACGTGAAGGACTGCTTTCATAGGATGCGTATTGATTCGGCCCTCTCGCAGTACTTCTGCCTGCCGCCGGTCAAGGCTGGGGCTTTCGGCGTGACCGAGGTCGAGGGGACCAAGGTGCAGACGTCGACGGCCATCTACCCTTGCTGGCAGGTGCTGCCCATGGGCTTCAGCTGGTCCCTCTACTTCGCCCAGCGGGCCAACGAGGAGGTGAGCCGCCGCAGCAGCGCGCTCCTTCGGGGGCCCGGTCTCTCAGACCATGGGCCACCGCTCGTGTTCGCGCCGGGCAGAGCGTCCCAGGAAGTCAGGCACTACGTGTATGTTGATAACTTGGGGGTCTTCTCGCTCTTCTCTGAACTCGTGAGCGGCGTGATGAACCAGCTGACAGGCGAGTTCACCAAGCTGAGCCTACTGCTGCACAAAGACGAGCTGGTGCCGGACAAGGCAGTAGCGCTGGGCACGGAGATCGACGGGGGCCAATTGCGCACTCGTGTGACCAGTGATCGGTTCTGGCGCTGCCGCCAGGCCGTGCGAGGCCTCCTAGCCCGCCGCCGTGTCAAGGGGTGGGCCGTGGAAGCAGTGCTGGGCCACTTAACCTTTTGTGGCCTCTGCTCGCGCGGCACCTTGTCAGCCTTCAATTCAGTCTACGGCTTCGTGCGAGCCCACTACGACGAGGCGGCCGTGCTATGGACTGAGGCGCGGCAGGAGCTGACGGCCTTCAGCTCTTTGATGTACTTCCTGGAATCAGATTGGTGGCTACCTTGGAATCCCTTGGTGCAGCAGTCAGATGCCAGTCTTCACGGCTACGGACTGGCAAGGGCCTTTTGGCCGCGGGAGCTGGTGGAGTCAGTCGGGCGCGTGCCTGAGCGAGCCCGCTTCCGCCGGCGCTGCGCGCACAGTGCCCGCGAGGCTGCGCTCTGTGCAGCTGGTTTCAGCATGAGCGAGAGTGGAAAATGGGAACTCAAGGGCCTTCCTGAAGATGAGGAGGAGCTGGGCCAGTGGGACGTTGTGAGGGACTTCCCGGAGGTGCCCGCCCGGGGGCTCCGCGCAGGTCTGCGGGAGCCCTGCTTCGCAAGAGCCTGGCAGCACCCTGAGGGCATCCTGACCTTAGAGGCCCGAGCCCTGGTCAGCAGCATACATCGTATCGCCACCACGGTGTTTGGGTCCCACATACGTCAGTTGCTGCTCTGTGACAATATGTCGGTCGTGCTAAGCTTCAATCGAGGGAGGAGCTCCTGTTTCAACTTGTTGGTCCAGATTCGTCGATTTCACGCTGTCTGTCTGAGCCGAAATATTCGTTGTTCGGTTCGTTGGATACCCAGTGAGCTGAACTGTGCCGACCTCCCCTCACGGCTATTCGATCCTGACGGAGCAAAGTCCGCCCTTCTGGCTGAGCTGTTGGAGCTCGAGGGCTCCCAGGCGGGCTCAGGGCGGGTTCCCGCCTGGTCCGCACCTGAGAAGGTAGCCGGTGGCGCCGCGGCCCGCGATGCTGCCTGTGTGCCCGCGGGCGCCAGACGGGCGTGGCCGCTGCCTCGGCCCCCTGCAGACCAGACAGGGCGCGAGGCCAGGGGCGGGACGCCGGCGCACGCGGCGGCCGGCGCCGTCTCGCCTGAGGCCTGGCCTGGGGCCGTCTGCCCAGGGTCAGGAGGCGGGGTGCCCGTGGCAGCTTGCCCCTTTGGCGCCAGTGACGCCGCTGCCGTCGCCGGCAGCTCGGCGGGCGCACCTGCTGTGCGAGTCGGAGCTCCTGAAGACAGCGGTGCAGGGCCGTCCCCTGCCGCGGAGCCTGGGGCAGATGGCGGAGGACCTGAAGGAGATGCCTGTGCCAGCGGAGCCCACTCAGGGAGTGCGAGAGAGCGACGGCTCCTCCGACAGCGGGAGCTCCGAGCCCGAGGTCGAGACCGACGCCGCGCGGCAGCCCAGGCTCGCGCAGTCGCACGAGCGCCTTGCCCGCCACTACGGGTCCCCTTACCTGGAGAGGGAGGCCGCGTGGATTCCGTCGCTGCGCGAGTACCAGAGGGTTGCGACCGTTGGCGAGGTCATGGAGAGCAGGGACGATGCCATGGTGACCTCGGCGTTGGTGAGCCAGCTGACCGGACTGCGCCAGACTGGGACTCACCCCTCCTGGGCCGAGAGGCTGATGGTCGGCGTCCTGCACTTCAACCCCGACGGGTCGAGCTACGGTGCCTGGCGCCTCCCCCCGGGCTTGAGTTTCTGGACCCTGAGGCTCTCCCCGGAGGAGGAAGGCCCGTGGGAGAGAGCGGGCCTGGTGAAGGTGTCGCTAGAGTCAGACTCGACCTGGATGCGCTTCTTGTGCCCTGTGCTGTGTCAGATGAAGAAGGTGAAGCACCCCGAGTACCCGTGGAACTTCACGTGCCCAGAGTACCGCAGGAGGTTCAGCCTACGTCTCCAAGACCTGCCAGCAAGAGCCGAGTTGGTGCCGTATCATGTTTGCCTTTCAAGGGCCTTGGTATGCATGGCGAGGAGGTGGGGGCGGCTGGCCGAGGTGCAGACACGCTGGCAGTGGAGAGCCAAGCGCAGCGTCGTCCGCTACGAGAAGCACGCGCGCCTGGCAGCCACGTGGTCAACTCGGAGCCGCACGGTGCAAGACGTGTTCCTGGTCTGCGGGGTTCAGCTCGCGGGCATCATTTCGGATCGCGCCTCGCCGCTCGACTTGCGGGAGCTCGGCTGCGTCTGACTGGCCAATATGTGGCCGACTGCTTCAGTGGCAAAGGAGGCGTGGGTCGGTCCGCAATGGCCATGGGCGTGCCAGCCAGGTTCTGGGACACGCTGCACGGGCCGGGCGGCGACCTCACCCGACGGAAGGTCCTGCGGGGCTTGTGCTCCGACATCGCCGCAGGCCGCGTCTTGGCCGTGATGCTAGCGCCGCCTTGTGGGCCCTGGACCACCGCTGCCGACCGAGTGGGAGCCATCCGCTCGGCATCGCAGCCCTGGGGACTTCCGCGGCATCTTCTGAGTACAAAACAGCTGGCTCGCCTGGCATCGGGCAATAAGACCATGCGGGCCGCGCTGAACGTCATCAGATGTTGCGAGAAATTCAAAGTCCCCTGCATACTTGAGCATCCTGTGAATTCACGCGTTTTTGCCACGAGAGAGGTTCTGGGGGTTATAGAACGGGGGGCTGTTGTAAGATGTCTCGGTCAGTGTCAGGAGGGGGCTCGCTGGCGCAAACGAACAAGATTTTTGTGTCTGAACATAGATGTTCAGGATAGTTGCTGCCTCGATCGTCGGTGTGGTCAGATCAATGGTATTTGTAACAAGTCTGGCCGTCCACGCATCGTGCTGGAGGGCAACGCCCCGAATGGTGCGAAATGGACCGCTATCGCTGCCGCCTATCCGCCAGCCCTCAATAGGAAGCTCGCTAAAGTCCTTTTGAGTGAATGGCGCGCGTCGTTATATAATCACCCTTGCCCACCCACCCAGTAAACATTCTTGGGAACGGCTTGGGTTGACGGTGCCTCACAGCTGAGCGCAAGGACGCGCAGCCGTTCGTTCATCTGTGTCCCCGCCTTGAAAAGATCTCGGGACGTCCTGGTTTGTGCTTGCACGTGAAGGAAGTCAAGAGGGGTTTTCATTATGTCGCCCCTTTGGCTCCGCTCCTTCTTGCATCGCATAGCTTCTCTGGTCCCCCGCCCCCCCGAACCCTCTCGAGCATGCGTGCACACACATGCTCTGTCTCATTTTTCTCTCTGTGGTTGACGGTGCCTCACAGCTGAGCGCAAGGACGCGCAGCCGTTCGTTCATCTGTGTCCCCGCCTTGAAAAGATCTCGGGACGTCCAACCTTTTAAAACCTAAGGAAAATCAATGATTTTGGCCTCTTCGGGCCCTCCTGGAGGACCTCTTGGAGGCCTCTTGGGCCGTCTGGGAGGCCTCTGGGGGGCCTCTTGGGCGTTCTTGGGCCGTCTTGGACTCTCTTGGGCCGTCTTGGAGGCATGCGAAAGCCATCTTAGCCGTCTTGGAGACCATCCTGGCCATCTTGGAGGCATCTTGGAGGCCATCTTGGAGCCGTCTTGACCGAAAAATAGGGAATTGAGGTCCGTGGCAATCCTCCGGGGACCCCGGCGGGACGCGCCGGAGCCCCAGGGGGAGTTCTTTTGGAAAAAGAACCAAAACCAAAACCTAGAGGATTCAGCACGCCAGGCACCCCTGTGATGAATCAACAGGGGGCGGCGGATTATCGAATGGCCTTCGGCGCATCCCGCCACCGTACCTGGATTGCAGGCCTGTCTGAGGCCAGTCGGATGGTCGATGGGGCCTCGTGGGATGCGTCTCGGGGGGGTTTGGGAGGCAGTTGTTCAAATTCTTGGTGGCCTTCTGGGAGCCTCTTGGGGGCTTGTTGCGGCTATCTTGGGGCTCCCGGCGGGGGCTCCTTGGGGCAACCTGGAGGCGTCGTGGGGTGGATGGCTCGAAATATCCGTTCGGGTTCCCCTTTTGGGCCCCCTCTTGGGGCTGTCTTGGGGCCCGCCTGTCTGATTACGAGAGCTCGTCCTCACGATCGTTCACGCTGGTGACGATGAGGAAGAGCAAGAGAAAGCATGTGTCGATGTCGATTATCTTGATAATTGTCGGTGGACACCTTTTGTCCACGATATGAACGGCCGCGCTGTAGTGTGCGCGGTCTGCCTGGCACGGCCAGGCTCTGTCAGAAAGAGTCCCGCCCTCCCTCGCCTTGAGCCAAGGGTGGCGGTGGCACGGACAGGGCAGACGGGCAGGAGACAGCTGCTGCTCTAGCTTACTCCTGCGTATCTTTCAGACAGGGGGGAAAAGGTTCTGCCCTGTACCGTGCGCGCAGGCAATCTCTGCGCTCCGTGTGTGCTGCTGGACGAACTTCTGATGGTCCTCGATCTCCTGCTGCAACTTCTGGACCATGATCAGGGATTCGGAGGCCGAGAACCCAGTAGAGGTCGTCGAGCTGGAAGGGTTCCCTTCCATGCTGGCTGGTGGTTGTGCCTGGCGGGCCAACCTACGCTCCTCGAGTACCTGACGAGCTGAGGCCGGGTCGGTCGGGTCCGTCTCGTCGAAGATGCCCTTGCCAAGAGCTGCCCGCTTGCGAGCGCTCATGAACTGCTCGTCGTAGATGAGGCGCCACTGCTGCTTCTCGAGGAAGGCCCGGACCACTCCGAATGCCTGCCAGCTTGCCTTGGTTAGGCCGTCGGCGATCTGTGCGTGTGAGTGAACCCAGCGCACGACCGTTTGACCCTCGTCCAAGGCATTGCGGAGAGCCAAAGCCTCGATGGCTGTCCTCCGCTCTTCCAGTCCCAGTCCCGCCGACTGAGATCGCACCACGCCGTCGTAGAAGGCCTTGCAGTCCGTCACCAGGATGGCTGGTAATCGTCGTAGTGCTGCTGCGGTATCTTGCAGTGGAGACATATTGTGTAGAAGTTCGGCAAGTACCAGTCGCACCATGCTCTGTTCGCCTTCGGCGTCGCCGGCTTCCTGCACCTCCGCCGCCAGGCTTGACCGAGCCACGCGGCGCAGCTTCTTGGAGCCCCAGTCGAGGACCGTGAACTCGGAGAGCTTCCCGTCCATGGCCGCCTTGGAGGAGATAGCGGTGATATGACCACCCTGAGAGTGTCCATCCGGGCGGCTGGCCCAGGCTGCGTCGCACCAGGTGAAGATGGCGAGGTCGTCCAGGGCGTGCCGGTAGATCCTGATCCCCATGTGGCGGCTCTGCTTGACGAGCTTGACGATGTTGTTAGCAGCCGTGAAGAGGTTGTGAGTACCTGCTGGTATCTTCATCTGGAGGTCGGCTACCCACGATAAGAGAAATGGCATGGTATTCACGCCAAGCCAGTAGATCTCGCCGCAGAACGCCCTGAGCACCGTCTTGTCAGAGTCCTTGAGGCTGTCGGTGGTCCGATGCTTACTGCCGCTGGCCGCCCTGACCTCTTTGATCTTGTCGATGTACGACTTCTGGTGTAGGAAGAAGCCCTGCTCGCTCTCCTCGATGGTGACGCCGCACTGTTCGAGAGAGGTGAGCCCGTCATTCATGTCCTCCCAGGTGCCCCACTTGTAGAGCCCTCGGATCTGCTTGACCATGTCCTGCCACTCAGGGTGGGAGGTATCTCCTGCCATGATGAAGTCGTCGACGTGGGCCATGATCATACCGATGAGCATACCCGTCCTGGAACATCGTGCTTTCCAGAGACAGGGCTCCAACTCGCAGGCTTGTAGTCGAAGTTTCGCAAAGTCGTGCTTGACCGTCTCCCACCAGTGCCGGGGCGCCTCGCCGATCCCATATCCAGGCTTCACGACCTGGAGGATTTCCCCTTCCTGCACGTGGAAGGCCTTTCTGAGGACGGCATCTGGCTCGATGAAGAGGTCCTTGTCGAGGTCGTGGGCCTGCAGAAAGGCGGAGGTGACGTCGCCCTTGATGAGCTTCCAGCGGTTCGCGGCGGCCACTGTTAGCATCACGTGACGGGCGCGCCGAGACGCGGTGGGGCTGGCTGTCGGCTCCTGTCCTAGGTCCTTCGTCTGGTAGCCGAGGAGGACGAGCCGGGCCTTCGCCTTCCCATCGGACTTGCGGGTGAAGAGCCACCTTGCCCGGATGACGTCCGCCGCGTCCTTGACCCGAGATGTCGGGACAGCGCGGAGTCCCTGATGCTGGACCCAGTTGTTCGTCTCCTTGGCGATGGCTGCCTCGAACTCCTCACGCTCGGTGGCGTTCATCTTGGACCAGGTCAGCTCCACCTTGTCCTTCCGGCGCTGGTTGACGACGAAGCTGTCCAGGATGTGGTTCATCAAACCTCGGCGTCCGTCTGGAGTGGTGTTCTCGTCCTGCAAGTACTCAAAGTAGACGGTCTGCTGTTCGTCGATGCCGAGGGTGATGTCCAGCTTGTCCTTGAAGAGGTCGACCAGGTGGTTGCTGTCGAACAGCGCGTCGGCCATCTCCTCGTCTGCGCCTTTCTGTCGCTTCTCCGGCGGTGCGTACAGATCGAGCTCTGGTCCGCGGTGTGACATGCGTCATCGAGGTCTCGACTCGCCTCGGGATGCGGCACCGGCCGCCGATGAGGTCGAGGTCGCGGGAGGCGGACGCGATGCTGTTCGAGACTCCGTCCTGACTGCCGCTGAGGTAGATGCTTTCCCTGGCGTTCGTGATGGGGCTGCTGACCGGTCAGCTGCACGAGCCGGTGGTGACCAGGACCGTCGGACATCAGGTTGCGTCGCTGAGCTTGGTGTTGGTGGCCTGGAGGAATCAGGAGCCCCGGGTGTGTCGTTGTCGGCGCCTGAGGGGAGTCCCGCCTCGCTGTTGTTCTCGAGAGTCTGGCCCTCGGTCGCGGGGATCGCCATCGTCGGCTGCGGTGGAGGCTCGTATTCTCGGAGGTCTGGAGGATTTTGTCCGAGAAGGTCTTCATAGGTACCGCCCTTGGCTGTCTCCAAGATCTCCGTCATGATCTTGCCAAGGTTGCTCTGCCGCTGCAATTCGACGATCATCTTCTCTGCCTCCGAGGCGACGCGCAGCTGCTCCGGGGCGCACCTGATGAGCACGCTCCCGTGGGAGATCCAGATGACCGAGGTCGGACGGGTGCGCCCGTCCACGTGTCGTTTTTCCTGAGCAAGGACACGAGCAGGGCCGTACCATCCGCCCTTCTTCCCAGGGCGAGGGTCAAGGCCTTTCCCTTTGCGCCAGAAGTAGACGAGGTCCCCCGGATTCCAGGTCTGATAGACCCGGTTGC